AGCAACTGTGGTTACTGGAACTCTACAAAATGTAACTTTGAGTGCGAGTGAGGAACTTCCCTTACCTCAACCCTGTATCATATCAACTCCAAGTACTTCTGCAGCAAAGGGAGAGGTTATCAGTGTATCAACATCCAACAATCAAATTACTGTTCAGGCCATACAAGACTCAGCGCCCAGTACGACAGTAACTGCTGAGTCCAATACAACACCAGAGACCTTGGTTGATTCTACTGAAGAACAAACTGAAGAGAAAGAACCTTCAACTATCACAGAAACATCAGTCATTGTCAAAACTGAACCTGGTACTGATAAAACCCAAAAGGAAAAGGATGCTTCAAACGATGAGAAACCTGCAGCAGATTGTACACCAAACACAAGTAGTACATCTCCTGCAGTTATTTCAGAAGAGCCAAGAATAAAAGCAGAACCAGGAACTTCTTTTGCTCCGTCATGTGAGCACCAGAAAAAGGCAACGCAGGAATTAAAGGATCTGAATAAATCCACAGATGGAGAGCAAAGATCTGAATCAACATCAGCTATTCCCACAACAGCTGGTGAAACAGTGTCTCAACCACCTATCTCTGAAAGTGAAACCAATGTAGATGCTGCACCAGTACCAAAATCTTCAGAAATGACAACGGTTCTTACACAACATCCTCTTTCTACACCATCAAGTCAACCACCTTTGGCTCCCTCTAGTGTCATGACATCATCACCTAGTCAACCAGGTGCTTTAGGTCCAGGTCATCCACCACCTCCACCTTACCCTCAGTCATCTGGATACCCAGGTCCTCTCACTCACTTACCACCAGGATCTATGAGTAATCCACAAATTCCTGGAGCCAGACCAGGGGTTCCTACCTCTGCACCTCACATGCCACCATCAGTATCAACTGGATATGTACGAGGAACTGTTCCTCCTGGCATGAGACCTGGAATGGAGCAAGCTCTTGGACCAAGGGTCAATCCTAGAATGTTTCCAGGAGGTGGAGATCCAAGAATGATGAGAATGAGAATGTTCAGAGGTCAGGATCCTTCACAATTTAGGCATGGTTTTGATGCACGATACATGAGACCAGGAATGGTGCCACCTGGCATGGATCAAAGACAATTTAGACCTAGAATGGGTCATCCTGGATTTGATCAGACCATGATGAGACCTGGAATGGAACCTCGAATGATGATGAGACCTCAAACTCCGGATTCAGATCAACCACCTCCAATGCAGGAGAGGTATCATTTGCGAAATCCACTAGATCCTCAACAGATGCAGTTTAGACATCCAGGGGTGGACCCAAACATGATTCGACAGATGCTTCATGGTCAGCAGCCTGGTCCTATGCCAAGAGGTCCAAGACCCATTATGAATCTTGACCCGGCCTCTGGACATCTGACTCATCCAGTCAGCTCTTCTGAACTCCCAACCTCTGTTGCTCAGTCTCTTCCTGGACAAGTCAGACCTCAGTATCCGGGACCTCGACAAGCAGGACCTCATCAAATGCCGCACAGTACTCTTCCATCTAACATGTCTGATCATCACCGTCAAATGCTGGCACAACAGGATGCAGGATCTCAGAAAATGGTAACCTCATCAGCCCACCATTTCACTCCTGGGCACAGACCACCATTGTCTGTCTCAATGCCTCATGGAATACCAAGCAGCATGGCAGGCCCTCACACAGGTTACCATAATCGACCACCAGCCCCTGGTCTACTTGCATCTGCAATGAGCCCAACAGGGTTCCAACATGGACCACATCCTCATCAAATACCAGGCTCATTCCCAGGATTGCCACTTCATCAAACATCTGAGGCTGTTTCAAACCTGGAACATTTTGTATCATCTGCTAGCATGCCTTCAGCCATCAGTAATCAGGCATCATCATCAACCACATCCACACCAAGTCCTCATCTGACTTCACCAGCCTCTAGTACATCACCAGCTATAATGAACATTAAACAAGAGCCTGGAACAGAAGCTAGATTATTAGGTGAGAAATTTTATAAATTGTATCCCTTCTTGCATATTTTCTTCATAGATCTTCAAGTGAGCAAATACCCAAAGGGGCCAAGTTACAAAAAAACCGAACAGATTAGCATTGAATATATTTTGAATTTTGGAATTTGAAGTTTATTTGGACTTGGAAATCTCAACAATTGTTAATGTTTTAAATTTGATGTTATATTTAGAAATGGTAAATGAAGACACTGAAGGTGGAGAACAGAGACCCAGTCAGAATGTGTTGTTAAAACAACTGTTAGCTACTAGTAGTGCTCGAAATCTGTCACAGGCAACTAGATCAGAGACACCAAGCTCACAAGGAGTAAGTTTACTAGCTATTCTGTTATAAAGCTGTTGCTTAAATATGAAAAGTAAATACTAACAATTTGCACAACAAAATTCAAAATTCAAATGTATTCATATGAAGAAGTATACCAATCATAAATGAAGAAGTATTTCATAATAAGTGGTATTAAACTGGTAGTAAATATGACACTCCCTGTTTTTTTTTTCAGACTGATGATGCCCTGCCAGAATTAACCCCTGAACAACAGAGACAGCTTGAGATGATAGAAGAAATGCCAATATATAAAGAAGCTGATGTGTCTCAAGAAGAATGGGAGAAAAAGACACCTGAGGAACAAGAGGCAATTATGGGTAAATTCATTTTCATCTGATTTTACAGTTTGATTTATTGCCATGAAATTAAGAGCAAAATGTGTCTGTCATGGAACATGCCATCTTTTTTCAAATGCTTCCACAATTGATTAAGAAAATTGGATCTTTGGATCCTGTTTTTGTGTTATCAGGTGATTGTCCTTTTCCAGAACGAAGGAAACAAGAATATGAAGAAAAGAGACGAAAGTATGAAGAAATACGAAAGGCAAAGAGAAAAATTGGTCAACCGCCAGATCAAAAACAGAAACGTCGTAAAAGAACGGAGGGTGGAACTGGAGCAGATCCTCCACAACCTGGAGTTATCAAGCGACGGCGGAAATCGAAGCTCAGTAAAGAATTTAAACCATCTGGGCCTGAGGCAGAGTTAGAAGTTATGTATGAAACATTCATGTATCAGTTAAGAACAATGCCTGCTGTACCTTTACAAGAACCAATGTTAGAACTTCATCATAATATTATACCAATCAAAGGAGCTTCCACAAACAAAGGTACTTCACTTACAAAACTTCTTTAATTCCTTGCCACCATTGAAAGACCCAGGATATCTGTTTTTGGTACATTTCATGCAAATCTTTTTAATTATTTTTTTGTCAGACTGGACTAATTTTTATTATTATGTACATTTTTAAAGGTGTAGAAAAATTTTGTCCCATGTGTAATTTTGAATGAAATGGGTAAGATGTAGATCTACAAGAGATACATATTGATCAATTCTAATTTGATTTTACAATACTAAGTTTTAAAGCCACACTTATCTTTAGTCACCAACAAACCATCTTTTTTGTTGTAGAAGAGAAACTGAATGGTAAATATGGTCATGGAGTATTTGATCAAGAACCAGACTATTATGGCAAACTGATCTTATCTCAGATGTCCCCACGATCTTTACGAACCTTACCAGGTTTGGATAAAGCCAGCAGACGACGATTTTTGGGTATGACAGACAATGCTTCACCATGTAAGAATTTTTGATATTTTGTTTTGTTATGTTTGAGAATTGCATCTATATGTGATCTAAGAACTGAATTTTCTGTACATTTTGTTTGCTTCTTTTTGTTTAAAACATAAAAGTTTTCAAGAAATGTACTTATGACATTCTGCAATTTGAATTTATTTTTGCTTTGATCTAATGTTTAACATGAATAGAGTCAGAAATTAGTGTACTGTATAAAAGATATTTTCAAGACGAACTGAAATTTAAAATCAAAAAGAAATTTGACTGCAAACTTAAGTTTATATTTGATTGTTTTTGCAGTTGACATGAATGATCGACAAAGATACCAATTAATGCCTGATAAAGATGGCGGATTATTGTCACAACAGTTGTTGTCTGAATTTAATAAAGAGTTACAGTTACCTCCCCATCCTAGAATCGATTCAAGATTAACACTCATAAAAAGGTAAAGATTATATATTATGTATTATTTATGGTCACAGAATTTTTCTGATTTACTGTAGTGTAAAATGTGAGCATTATATTCCCAATTATACAGTTATTGATTATGTCAAATTAAGTTTAATTCATGAGTATGAAATTGTCTTTACAGAATTGGCAAAGGATCGACTGATTGTCACTACTTATATATGATTAAGTTTAGAAATATATTATTTTATTTTGAGACTATTCTTATTTCAGCGAGAGTCCTGATACTGTAATTTCTTCATCATCCCCTGAATTTGGATTTGGTGAACAAGAATCAGTTGATTTCCCAGCATTACGTCCAATAGAGCCTGCTGAATCTTCTCAAGATGGCAAGATCTCTCCTTTCGTACCTTTAATTCAACCAATCCCCATTAAATCTGAGCCAGGAGTGAAATTGAAAGAAGAAGAGGAAGAGGAAGCAGAAGTGAAGATGATCACAGACGGTCAGAACGAATTAAAGGAAAAAGATCTTGCATTGGTTCCAGTAACGAAGGGGGATGAAATGATCACCAAAAAGTTACCAATCACATCTGGTCTAGTCAGTCCATTCACCGATCCTAATTCTGACCAACAGGTTTCAGTGACCTTAACCTTATCAGCATCTGCTGCAGAAGACATAGGTGGCGTAATCGCAGGGATTGCAGATCTGTTACAGATTGCAATACCACCCACTTATGAAGTCAGAAGAACACCATCACCAGAATCTTATAAAGTACAAATGACTCGTAAGTAGTTTATTCATATGAATTTTTTTTTGCAATTTGACATAAAAACTGATGTACGCCTACAAACTATAAATGTATTGCATGTAACACAGTTTAAAGTCTAAATAATTTTATTTTGTCATGAACAGATAAAGAACAAGCTTTGAACATCCACTCCCTGGTGAAAGCAAAACCTAAATTCTGTCGTCATTGTGATGTGGTAGTTATAAGTTCTGGTATAATCAAGAAGAAAGCTGATCTACCAGTATTAACCAAGGAGGAACAGGTCAGGACTGTTTTATTTAAGATATTCTATATTTAATACCAACATTGCCCAAAGAATTTATTATGTACTGCATTTTTAATGTACTTATATTCATTTGTCTACAGTTATGATAAAGTGCTTCAATTTGAAAGAAGTCAGACAAAATATATTTTATTGATTGCTATGGTTTTAATAGTTTGATTATGTACAAAAATATCTTTTTCTTGATATTTCATTTTAGGGTTTTCAAAGTTTAGAGTAGGCCTATAAGTATTGCCATTCATTCAATGGATTTCTTAGTTTAATCATGACTTATTCATTGAACTTTCTGTTAATTCAATCAACCATTTTTGGTTGTGTTAAAATTTGATTTTTTAATGCCTGATTTCTATGAATGTATTTTCAAATCATGATTAATAGTTAATTTAGTAAATCATTCTTCATTTAATTTTATTGTTTAACATTTGTTCTTGTTATTTGTGTTTTTTATTTTATGTGCTCCTCTATTTCATTTGTTAGTTCCATGTTGCTCATTCATTCATTCATTCTTATTGATAATTCCTCTCACAAATGTATTTTCATTCTTATACATTCATTATCATCAAGTCATATCATTGAAGATGTGCACACTAAGATTATTCTAATATATTCCAGGAATCTGAAGGAGATGATGTGACATTCTGTAGTATGAATTGTTACATGCAATTTTCTATAACTCATCAGTCAGCTCATGCACAAGCCATGGAGACCAAAGAAAGTGGAAATATCGTGGAGCATAAAAGCGTGGAGTCAACACCGACAACATCCCCACGTAATGTCATGTCAGCATTATCAATTACAACAACGCCACCTAGTGGATCATCATCAGCCAATCATACTCTCCCATCAACGCCGACCACCCCATTACTTACACCGAACTTTGTAGCTCCTAAAGAAAGTCCCTCACCTAATACCCTCAGTCCTCAGATAAAGTTTAAACAGGAAGAGAAGATGAGTAGAAAGTTAAAAAGAATGAGCAGTATGACTTCTGATCCTCCAAAGGTTTGTTTCATTTCTTTGTTATTGCTTTTTTGATGCTGAAAATAATTTTCATTTTGCTTATTACTCTAAATTTTTGTTTTCAAAGACAACCATGCTACCCCTGCTACACAGTTTATTCATTCCTCATGAAATGCTGAAAATATTTTACTTTTGCTTATTTTTTCCTATTTTTGTTTTCAACGAAAACAGCATGCAATTGCCATTTATTGAAGAACAGCCTGTCCATTGGAGCAATACAATGAAAGGTGTGTGCAGTAGAGACGTGTGATTTCATTCCAAGCAAATATCAATAAAAACATAAAACACTTCTTGGTAGTGAAATGATTTATCCTTGAATTTAATCATATGTTATGTGATGGCTGATGTTTCAGTTGCAATCTTTGAAATAAACATATGTGAAATTTTTGTAGCCTGTAGTCAAGAAATGGAAAGATATACGATGGAAATATTGGGATATTGAAATCTCTGAAAGTTTAGTCAAAGTTAAGAAGCACTCTAAATCAGAAATCAATGAGGTAAGTTTAAAAAAGTTCAGCCATGCTTTACTTATTCATCATCTTCCACCTTAACATCACGTGACAGAAAGAGTAAGCAACTCCACCTGACTAGAAGGGAAGTTACTCTTGTTTAGAAGGGACTAATCTAGACCACAAAATATGAATTTTGACATTAAGGACTAATTAATGACTGATATTATTTTCTTTATTCCTAGTTATGGGCTAAATTAGAACTATACTATAAACCTAATCCAATGCCTGAAGATACCAGAGTGTGTTCCTTCTGTACATTAGTTGGTGATGGTAAACCAAATGGTCCTGGCAGGTAGAGTAATTTACTATCATATCAATATCACATAGTATATCTAATTCAACGAGGCATTTACTGAATAATGCATAGCATATTAGATTCAACTGTGTAAAGTTAAATGATATTGAATAATGCTTGTAAAACTTCACTACTCTAACTGACTTATATTTAGGTTTATTAATTTTCATGTATTGCTAATATGTAAGATATACAAAAACTGGCTTAATTACACTAAATCCTGGAATTTTTGTGTCTGGATTCTATTGAGACACCTTGTCTGAAGAATTTTATATCAGTGAATACCAGTTATTCACAGAATATATATTCCATCAATATTTGTTGGTTATTGTAGGTTATTGAATTTAGATGTTGATAAATGGGCACATCTAAACTGTTCACTGTGGTCCAGTGAAGTATATGAAACTCTAAATGGAGCATTGATGTCTGTAGATATAGCTTATAAGCGTGGGCTAACTGTGGAATGCCATCGCTGTAAGAAAGTTGGTGCTACGTTAAGTTGTTTTAAAGTACGTTGTGCCAATTCTTTCCATCTACCATGTGCTCAGGATGCTGGCTGTATGTTCTTCCAAGATAAGGTATGGATCTTTCACACTGTTACAAAACAACTTCTCATGATGCTTGATAAGGCTTGAATAATAAAACAAACTCAGTGTATCTAATGACAATAAGAGGGTTTGGAGATTTTATAGGACTTTAGACAACCTCTTCCCATAGAAGCCATAAAATTTCCGTTGGAACTCATTTTTGTATACTGTTTGCTTTCTAGCCATTTCAGTATATCATCTTGTTGTCAGAGAATTCATGACTTACAAGACTAAAGTTGATGTCTTAATTTTACATATTCATTTTTCAGACAATATTATGTAGTAACCACTTACCAAAAGGACCAGTAGAGAATGAACTGTCATCACTGGTGGTCAATAGACGTGTCTATATAAACAGGGATGAAGATAGACAAATAGCTAGTATGATACATCAAGAAGAGGGCAACCATATTCTACGTATTGGTTCTCTCACTTTACATTGTATTGGACAGCTATTACCACACCAAATACAGACCAATAACTTTAATACTAGAGAATATATTTATCCTGTAAGTACTGATTGAGACAGGAACTTTTATCACATTGGTGGCCCACAGGCACTTGAAAAGAGACTCTACATTGTGAATTTTGTTTAGAGATTCTATTGTTGGATATTGAACCATCTAATGAGAGCAGTGCCGATAATAAAATATTTCTAGAAATTACAGGTATTCTTACCTCATCAACAGGGTTAAAAGGAAAAATGCTTTTAAACATACTATTAAAGGAACAACATTGGTCTACAAACTTTCATTCTTAATTTTATACGATCTTTCTTTGCAGGTTGGATTCCGAACAAGCCGATTCTACTGGAGTACACGAGAGCTGTATAAACGCTGTCGTTATACATGCTTCATACAAGACAATGATGGAAAACCTGAATTTGCCATCAAAGCTACAGAGACTGGTTATAAAGATCTTGTTTTTAAAGATTCTAATCCTAAAGGTCAGTAATTACAAAATCCATAAGATTTAAATGTGACATTAAAATGCAAAAAGGTAGTGATAGTTCATATTTGAACAAATATTAGTGTGCATAGTTACTGTCAGATATCTTTGGCTCAACAACTGTTAGTGTGCATAGTCACTGTCCAGACCAAAATGAGTGTGCCTGATAATTTTATTGGCCTAAGTACTGCTAATTCGTATAGTCAATGTCAATAGTCTTTGCTCAACTATTTTTAATTCTCTACGATGTGTGTGCATAGTCACTTTGAATATCCTAAATCTGCATTGATTTCTTGAATGACCAAAAATACCCATGTTTATGGTTTTATTTTTTAGATGCCTGGATGCAAGTGTTTACACCTATAGAGAAAATAAAACGAGAAAATGATTTAGTTAAGTTGTATCCATCATTTGTGACTGGTGAAGAAATGTTTGGTTTAACTGAAACTAATATTGTTAAAGTATTGGAATCAGTAAGTATCTTTCATATTATTGGTTTCTTGTTGCTTTCTTTAAGGCAATGATTTCAATTGGAGATGTTGTTTCTACTTATAAAGATATACAGTTGGCTGCATGACAACTCTCAGCCTAACAGCAAAAAGTGTCCTGTTCTTTTTGGCACAAAATTTCTTTGACTGCTGTCATAAGGCAGCTTTAAATCAATTAGACAAAATCTTTTGGCAAGAGAACAAAAACCCATACATATTTCACAGGCTCCATCAGGTTAGTTGATTTGATGGGTGTTAACTTGTCAAATAGACCTACATCATAAGATCAAAATAAGCAAATTCACAGAACAGGAACATATGATTTTTGAGTTGTCATGTGGAAAAGTTAACCATTACTCTCTTTTGTGTTTGCAGCTTCCCGGAACAGATTTATTAAAAGATTATAGTTTTAAATTTGGAAGATCACCATTGATAGAGATGCCATTAGCTATCAATCCTACTGGTGCTGCTCGAACTGAACCTAAATTACGAACACACTTCAGAAGGTAATTTTACTTTATATTGTCTAGGAAGACTGCTAATTGCTACCTGTGATTACACCAACCAGTCAAATTCTGACAGAACTTCATGCATTAAGCATTGAGATATTTTAAGTAGATGAGAGTCTGTGGCAGCAGAAATTTGTGTCTTTTCTTGCCTTGGCAGACAGATGACTGTGCTTCTTGGGTACTTATAAAACTCCCAAGTTCTTTCTTGCTGCTGGTAGGATACTGCATTGTCATTCAATCTGCCAAACCAAATACCATGATCAAATTTCATGAAGATAATGGAACGATGTATCTATTCCAGACCACATGCTTTACAAACTAGCAGTTCATCACGATCTCTACCATCAACAGTAACTGGTGTAACTGGAGATATTAACTCTCCGTATATGAAACAATTTGTTCACTCTAAATCACAACAATATCGACGTCTAAAAACAGAATGGAAAATTAACGTCAATTTAGGTAGATCAAGAATTCAAGTAAGTACAGCTGTAATTTTTCAGAAAGCTAATAATTTTGCAAGAGTTGTGTGAGAATTTATAATTCATTTAGGCTTGTTTCAAATCCTTGTGAAATATCTAGTAAAATTTATTTGGATACCGGTACTTTAGACAGATATATATTGTTTGCATGGCTGTTTTCCAAGATAGATTTCAGAACGAAATAATGATCATACTTTGTTGATCTCTTGTATGGCATCAAATTCTGCCATTGAATCTATTAACTTAACTTAATTGATATAAGATATATGGATCAATTGAATTTTAAAGGTTTATTTTAAAGATGTATTTGTATGTTTGTAGGGCCTGGGTCTATTTGCTGCTAAAGACCTAGAGAAACATACAATGGTGATAGAATATATTGGTGATTTGATACGAAATGAGGTGGCCAATAGAAGAGAAAAAACATACGAAGAACAGGTAATATTATTGGAAAGAATTACTTTCTGTTTGGATAAATTCTCAACCCTAATTATCCTGTGTATTCTTGTAGGTGTGTATTGTCTTATTTTATTGATTTGTGGTCAATAGTTGTCAACCTTCACAATCTCCTATCTCTAATATTACATAGAATTCTATAACTGTAATCTTGGATTGACTGAACAGTGCCAGAATCTCCACGATATATGTATGACTATAGATATAGTACTATCTGTATTCTATACAATGATATATTGAACTATAAATGAAACTATTGTTATATATTGTAGAATCGTGGTATATATATGTATGACTATAGATATAGTACTATCTCTATGCTATATTGAACTATAAATGAAACTATTGTTATATATTGTAGAATCGTGGTATATATATGTATGACTATAGATATAGTACTATCTCTATGCTATATTGAACTGTAAATAAAACTATTGTTATATATTGTAGAATCGTGGTATATATATGTTCCGTATTGATGATGATAATGTAATTGATGCTACTATGTCTGGAGGTCCAGCACGATACATCAACCACTCCTGTGCTCCAAACTGTGTAGCTGAGGTGGTACCATTTGAGAAAGATAGTAAAATTATTATTATTACCAATAGAAGACTGAGTAAAGGAGAGGAAGTAAGTATATTAGATGATATTTGATTACCTTATAGGCTCCTGGATTAGTGTGTTCGATACTTAGATTATATTCCTTGATAAGGACATTTCAACAGCATAAGATCTGGCATTGTTCTTACTTGTTTTTGTATACATCCAGACTAACAGTTCAGTACACAATAGTGTAAGTAGTAATGATTTTTAAAAATCTGACCTGTTTAGCTTCAATTTCTTTTTATTTTAGCATATAATATACTTTTTGTATTATCTTGGCTTATGTTGGCCTTTTTATGTTTACAGTTTATTTTTATTATTTCATTGAATATATGATGATTATTTCTGTTTTTCAGTTAACCTATGATTATAAATTTGACTTTGAAGATGAATCCCACAAAATACCATGTAGTTGTGGAGCAGGTTGCTGTAGAAAATGGATGAACTGAAATATGCACAGAGTAGAGTTGAAATATGTTAACAGCTGGTCTGTTTCTTGTGAGTCAAAGAGTTAGGAAGGGCCTGAAAATGAAATATGTGAAAAATGGAAATATTGCGCACAAGTTTTCTGATTTTGTGTTAGATATATTTTTCACAACCTGAACATAGACCTCCAACCCCAAATATAGTGTAGAATCCTATTAATGACATCCACATGAAAATCATGTGAGTGAATGCGATGACAAAATTTTCTCACTGAAATACAGCACAAATACTGTTACTTGGAACAAAATCTTCCAAAAATTGTGACCTATTACGTAACAAGATGATTTTAAACCAAGAAAATACACAGACATTTTTTTCATGTATTCTGATAGTGCTATGCAGATTATGAACATATTTTTTACATACTTAGTTTCATTTTTCAAATTTTTTGTGTAATTAAGCTAAGTTTTCATACATCTTTGTAATAAATGGTAATTCACTTTTCATTGTAATTAAGATTTTTTATTCACTTTTTGTAAATTATTTAGGGAAGAGATGTTTCTTAGATTTTGCAATTGCAATGTTTTTTGCAATTTTTCCACATATATACATCATGGGATTTGCAATTTCAAATCTGTAACTATTTGTATTTAATGTTAGAAAGATACCTTGTTACTGTTAGTGTATTCATATATTTTCATTAAAACCAATTTTAGAGTCAAATATTTAATACTTAATGGGTACCTCAATTTCACAAAATATTAATTTTCAATCAATCTTAACCTTAAGGAAAATTCAGACCCTGAAATGAGTTTGTAATAAAATTCAAATATATCAGAACTTGATACAATTAATTTAAGTCATTTAATCAATATTAAACTCATATGACACCCAAATATCTAAAAAGCTCATTCAAATCATGTCATAAAGAACCAGTGTATTATTAATTATAGTCACTCTTGTTCTCAGTTTTTATTATTATTGTGATAAAATACCAGATATTATATAAACAAGGGCAATCATCTATTCAAATCTTGTACATAAATTCAAATTTCATCAATTTTTCACCCAATAGCAATAAAATGTAGATACAATGCTACTCAACTGTTGATTATTAATATTACCATTTAAATCATAATTATTATATACATTTAATACATAGGCTATAGGCTATTCTCAGCAGAATTTATTTTCTGTCACGATTTGATAACAGTATGGTCTTCAGAAATGTCCCACTTACTTCTAAAACCTGTTTAGTTTGACACTAATACAATAATTTTTGTGCTGGGAGATATTAGCAAGGCAGGGCGTCATTTTAATGCATCACGTTTTTGATCAAGAAATTTATTTTGAAAATTACAATACAAACAAGATATTCATTGGTTATTCATTTAATTTTCACCCAACTGTAAACCATGTCATAGATTTAAACTTTTCTACTAGTGCTGCACAAGAAATCCAAAATTTTCTAAAAAGCAATCAGATTTGGATTTAAGGTTTTTAATTGGTTATTTGTGAAGCAATCATCCAATCAAGTTAAAGAATTTCCATTCTAATTAAGTGCTTCTTAACACGTCTCAACATCTTTGTGCTAATATTTTATATTTTTCATTACTTTTTTACAAATTTGTGATTTGATTCCTTGATATTTTTTACTCGCTAAATATCTGCTGAAGTTTTAATGCAAGTGGTGAAAAGGTGCTATGAGAAACAGGTCTCAATGAAATTAAAATTTGGCAACTTGTAAAAGATTTTCTTTTTCATTGAAGGCAATCCATGAAAATTGATCAAAGAATACTATTGCAAAATTAAAACGTTGCAGTCAATAATTCTCATAATATATATGCTAATTAGCAAGTCATTATGTAAACTATCACATTTTCGTGTTCAATGGAAAAACAGAATTAGATCTATGGTTTATTAAATCTTATGCTGCAAGTTTTTTTGAAAACTAAACTTTTGAAACTATAATTGTAAAAAGGAAAATATCCATTTTGAATTGGTCCAGCAAATATTAAATTTCTTGATGTTATTATCAATTTGGCCAGGAGCCATTTTTTATTCTATTTTATCTTCTATTTTATTGAATTAATTGTATACTAAACTTTTACAATTTTCCTCTTCTTCCATTCTATTTTTTCAATTTTTCTTCAAACTTTTATAAATTATTACATTAATTCTGTTTCTTTTTTCAAATTTCTGACTTTTAATGTCATTAAATGAATGAATGACTTAATTTGCATAAATTACATCATTGCAGAACTTGAGGTCCTATAATTTATGAGATATCAATTATATTTCGGTATTTTTGCAGATCGTCGGTTTTCAAGTTTATTATATTTCCTGCATCTTATCTTATCTTATCTTTGTTTACTAACATTATATATCTCATCAATATATTCACATTCAAATGGTTCGAACTGTGAAGGAAAGATATAAATATTTGAGCCTACTTAAGCTTCTGTTTAGAAAGTTAAAATCTGAATCCAATCAGTAGAATGGTTTGTATGTGAATAGAATAACACTGGGTCTTACTGAACATGATGAACATCTTCTAAAAGATGAAAACAAAGGCATTTTTGAAATTGTTTGAAATTTGGCAATCCTATCATAGGTATGCACAAATAAAGCAGAAAAATTCAAAAGAGAGTCTAAATATTCCAGTATTCAAATTTCTTATCAAGTTCAGCATAGATCCAGCCTTAATGTATAAAAAGATAGATTTTATCGTGTAATTTATACAGTGTGTTCATTATATTGCATATTATCATATAATCATCTTATTTTGGAGAGTTCATTATCTTATATTACTATTGTCTGTTTATCAGAATTGTAAGGATTAGTGTTTACTAGCACTATGACCAATTCTCAAGAGGTTTTCTACCCTACATGTCTGAATCTGAAAAGTACAAATAGAAACTGTAAATGTTCAAGATACACCTCAAGATATCATTAGCTCTAGAATGTACACTATCTTGTTACTTTACTAAAGCCAAAAACTATTTGATTTTATACTTTCATTTGAGAAAAAAATTTATAACAAAATAATCTCAAGATTATTATGTAATATACGGTAATACTAATTACTAAATTGATACAGCAGTAAATGGACAAGATGATATTTATAAGTTTTCTGTGTGCGAAGCTTGGCTTGTTTCTTATTTTAAGATGTTATTTCTAATTTGAAAATACCCAACCATATATGTTGTTTCAAGATCTCTGTGTGCCAAGCATCAATTACTTGTTGTTTGTTTTTTATTTTTGTTTATTTGTGGTATATATTATTGTCTGGTAACTATGGCAAAAGTTGCCTTGGTAACAGAATCTTCAGTGACATGAATCATTGTTGAGGAATTCAGCATTTTAATTATTATCAATAATAATGATAATAAGGCTACAGCCTATTGCTGATGTGTTGTCCTAGAACCAGTTGCCATAGTTACCAGACACTGACTTAGTTTAATATTCTAATGCTATAAATAGTGTTGTCATGGTATTTTCAGTACATAGAAACTTGTATATAAACCATTTTCACCTCAATAAAATTAAATATACTTAAATACCTGAAGTCTTTATTTTGATAAAAAAAAAATTGATTTTTACCAGTTGGTTTGCCCGCTGTATGCCCAATTGAAAATTGACCAGAAGAACATAATCATGATATTAGTCTTTCAAAGGGGTTTCATGTTGCCAAAAAGCAAGGAAAAATTGTTACCAAAATGCAAGAATTCACGATTTCTAACAAGAACATCTGATCCATGAAAAATTTACATAGCCTACTTATTTTATTGGCAAAAATGAGAATTAATAAGTGAGATTTTGTCACTGATGATGTAATCTAAAGTCATCTGTGTAACTGAACTTTTCTGCGTACCTCCTAAAATGAAAGTAGAAATTTGACCTTTTACCCAATAAATTGAGTTGTGTAATCAGCTTCTGTATTGGATGTTAAAAATAGAACAACCAATCAGAAGTATCGTGACAATAAATCAGGAAAAGATAACTCTTTATCACAACTTGTCTGCTGGTGTAAACAAACAAGAATGTTCACCACCAAAGTTGCTGGAATTCTAAAAGGTAAAATTGCCTTTTCACTATCCATTTTTCATTTACTTTCGTGTGAGAATTGTTCAACAGCTTATTTGCATCGAATACAATAACTTTTGACGGAGAAATTCATTCAAACATTTCATGTTTGACAAGCAACTTGATAAGGGTTTCTGCAAGGTACAAAATCAAATTTCAACAGGTTCAAAGTCCAAAACATTTATGACATGAACGTTCTTTCAAAGAATCATATTTATTATCTAAGTGTGTTGAATCTAAGTTAAAGTACCTAAATTTGGAAAGTTAATTAATGTCATCAAAACTGGCCTTGATTAATTTGTCCCTGAAAATTTGACTACTCAACATTGTTCAGTGGAAATTTAATATTAAAATCTACTGACAAAGGCGCACTTCAACATTACAACAGTACCGGTAAGTGTTGTCTGTCTGTAGTCTGTCACTCATCTTAATCTGAGCATATGACACAAAAGATACATGCTTTATACTTAATTTGATTTTCAAGGTCTCACGAAACCATCAGTTTTAAAAATGACATCCAGAATGTGTAGTACTGCAACATCCACCTATAATTTTGAAACGTTGAAAGTTACACAACCGCGAGAATTTGTGTTACAAGTAGAGATCAACCGGCCTGAAAAACGTAATGCCATGAATCAAGCTTTCTGGAGGTAAATATTCATACATGTAATATGAGACAATCAATTTGGATTTTGGTTTAATATTTTGATTTTAGTGCATTCTTGGAATACAGCTGTGATCAGTTTAAAAAAGCAATAACAATTTATACTGAGAGTATGAACTTGCATTGAAGTTACAAGCCACTGGGGTTGGTAATGTTTAAAACTTGATAAAAAATTGCAGTGTTTGCATCAAAATAAACTAATAGTATCCTTTGATAATGAGTTGATCACTGATCATTACAAATTGTCGAACTTATTTTGATTGCAATTTGTTCTTATTTGATGAAATATTAAAGATAATGGTATTTATTTTAAGAGAAATGGTAGAATGTTTTAATCAGATATCAGATGACAGTGATTGTCGCGCTGTTATATTTACTGGCTCTGGTAAAATATTTACAGCTGGTAGGTAAAATACATTTTCTTAGTCAAACACCATGGGATTGGATTAAATTTCTTCCTCAGTGTTCTGCTGTTTTCAACAAAGCCTTGTTTAAATAACAACACATATAAGGAATTCATTGAGTGCAAAGTGCTGATGATTGAATCTTGCAATGTATCCTACTAGCCAGTTCTCAGTTTAGATTATAATCATGTTGCATAGCTATTTTATATGAGTTTGAAATTGATTTAGAAACTTTACTTTCACATCAGGAATTTCCATGCCCTTTTAAACAAGAAGTTGTATTTCTTCATCTGTAGGTTTGGATTTGATGGATATGGACAATGCCTTCATGCAGTCTGATTTAGATGTGGGTAGAAAAGCCATGAAGTTAAGAAAACTTATCAGGTCTTATCAGGAATCTTTTACCGCTATTGAAAAGGTTTGTTTATGTCAGCTTAGAATAAGAACATACTTCCAAGACTATTGCTGTTGAAGTTTTACAGTAGTCACTACATTCCATGACTGTTGATCCAATCAATTGGTCAAATACAAGATAAAATGTAGTCTGGTCTGTATCTTTTAGACTGACAACATGATACAATGTGAATGATGGACAGCACAATTAGTCTGCCATTTATGCTTGAATTTCATTAATTTGCAGAACCTTCTCAAGTTCTCTTTCTCGTCCTATCTAAAAGACTTGATTCAATCATTTCTCAGATTCCTTTATCAGCAATTTGTCTGATATTCATTTAATGTTCCAGTGTCCGAAACCAGTAATAGCCTGTGTACACAGTGCCTGTGTTGGTGGAGGTATTGATTTAATAGCAGCCTGTGATATGAGATATTCTTCATCAGATGCATGGTTCTGTGTCAAGGTGAGTACAAAATTGTATATTTTAATTTGTAGTGTATGCCAGTCTGTCTGGTGATTCAGCTTTGTATTTGATTTGGTTTGAATTAATTTTTGAAGGTGAAATTATTTGCAAAAACACTTAGCCAAAACATTATCTTCAAGTTTAGTAGATAAAAAGATTGTGATATCTTGATAAAGACCAGCTCAAATAAAGTTAGTAATTGTAATCCATAAGAATTGTTTTATTATTTCCAACACCTTTACTAAATGCCATTAAAAGATTATCTTATGGATATGTTGAACTCTGTTTTATGCTTTGGCAAGGAATTTGAAAGTTGCTGGTATTTCAAAGTTGTTCAACCGAGTTTCAATTTTGTGAAAGATGTAGTGTTATTTGTCTTATTACAAAGTACAAAGATGTTTTTTTATCTATGTCAATTTTAGGTCAAATTATTGTCCTAAATTGAAAAGTGTTATAGTTTTTCGTGGCCACCCGATATATCTTTTAACTCTAGATTTGATAACAATTTCATATTGATTAACAGGAAGTAGATATTGGTCTAGCAGCTGATGTTGGTACATTACAAAGATTACCTAAAATAATAGGAAATGACAGTATCGCTAGAGAACTGGCCTATACAGCCAGAAAATTCTTTGCTGATGAAGCCAAACAGATTGGACTCATAGGGTAGGAAACTCTCTTTCAGTATTAACACCAAAAAGCATAAGATTTTTAAAACCGGTTTGAGTTCTTTCAATCAATACATTTCAGAAAATTCAATTATTGAGTGTTGAGTTGTAAGGATGAAAGATTTGATGTTGGTTGATGCAATTATTGTTTTTTTCCAAAACAATTAATATTTGGAGGACGTAATATGGTTATTTAATTTACTTGAATGAACCAACCAAAAAATATAAATACTGGTCTACCAAAAACCTTAATTACTGTGCCTGTTTATAAGTATTATTTTGAATTTCAGGAGAATATTTGAGAATAAAGAAACAATGATACAAGGTGCATTAGATACAGCTAGTTTAATAGCCAGTAAAAGTCCTATAGCTGTACAGGGTACTAAAGTGTGTTTAGTCTATGCTAGAGATCATGGTGTCAGTGAGGGACTGGATCAAATGGTAACTACTGATTACAATTTTTCTTAATAAGAAATGGGGTTGAGGATCATTCCATGTCAAATCACCCAATGAGGTAAACCCCCTTTTTTTGGGTGATTTGACACGGAATGACCCTGGGATAAAATTCGGAATAGCTTCTGGTCAGTGGGTGGGCCTTGTATTCCATGATTAAATATTCCAAGATTCTATTTTTACACCATTCTGGTTTCATACCCATACTTCAATATTGTAGTATATTTACTACATAATAGAGTTCATTATTTTAAGGATGGACAGACATCATAACCAAACCTCGCTAGTCAAGCTATGTTATTGAAGTGAAGTGCACATGCAATACGAATAAAGTATAACAAGTGGTTTGCCCACGTATGGTACAAAACATAACCAGTTTATGAAGTGTAACCATTATCATTATTACAAATATGTGGTTGATTGATGGTATTATGTCTTTGCAGGTAACATGGAACCAGAATATGTTACAGTCAGAAGATTTGATGAAGGCTATGGTGGCAGGAATGGATAAAAAGGCACCAGTTTTCTCAAAACTATAACGCCCCTATCAACTTAGGGTAATCAATAAATACAAACTAATTAACAGAGTGGCTCAAAGCAAATTATTCCAGTCAATTGTGGACGTACAAAGTTTCCTTATGCCTAGTTCACACCAACAGCGAATGCCGCGCTTTAAATCGGCAAGCAAAGCGCCATCATTTTTTTTTACTTTTCAAAAAATATCACGATCTCCTAAGTAATGTTACGCTCTGATAAGCTCTGATACGAATTGGTTACGATTTGGGGACGAATTATTTCCCAATTTGATCAGGCCTTGTTACGCTATAAATCACGCTTTGATAAGCTTTATTAAGCTTTGATGCTTTTAATCACGCTCTGATACGATTATCAAGCTCTGTTGTGCTTAGTTAAGCTCTGTAATGCATTGGAAAATTTCGAGATCGCCGATTTCATGCCACTTTTGATCAAGTGGTGACAGATCGTGAAGACTGGGGTCCCAGCTTTGAATAAAGATCTGTTAAGCTTTCCTAAGCTTTGAGTCAAGCTTTGCTGAACTTTGTTACGCTTTGTTAAGCTTTGATACGTTCTCGACGCTTTAATCAATTCTTGACAGAGCGCCCAAAATTATTAAACAGTTTAAAAAATTTTGGCGCTCTTGCCGAATATCCAGCTTTGCTCAAAGCTTTCCAACGATCTATTACGACCCTGGCGCTTTAGTCGAGCTTTGTTACGCTTTGGTACCGCTTTGAATGCCGCTTTAAAGCGCCATCAAAGCGCCGTTGGTGTGAACTGAGCATTATGAATTTTTGCAGATGTTCTTGGACAGGAATCCATCTTTTATACACCAACAGTATGTGATTGACTTGTAAAGTGAGCATATTAAAGGTTTATAGTTTTGGTAAATATAAACAAAACTTAGGGCTGTATGCAGCGCTCTTTCCTTGACTAAAGTTGAACTTTACAAAGTTAGGATTAAGGCTTTTATTTTCTACACTTGATAGTCAAATTTAAGCATGACTTTCGTAAAGATTGACCGGTGCATAGCTAAAGTTCGACTTAAGTCTAACTTTAGTCAAAGTTTAGGTAAAGTACGAGCGCTGCATATGGCCCTAAGTATATGATGTATAGTTGAGAAATTAAATCTTCTCAACTATTTATATATATATGTTAAAATAAAAACACTGTTTCAATAAATAATGATATATTTGTTAATATTAGGATTTTTTCATTTATATCTTTTACATAGTAACTAAATTCTTTCTATCATATTTTTAACAGAGTTTAAGCACTGCCCAGATACATACTTTTAGATACATGATAAAAAGAGGATTTGCAGCAATATAATTTGCTCTTATTTAAATGGTCACAACCATGATATAGGACTTTCACTTTTCAATTTCCAAGCACGATTAAATTACAATAACTCTAATTATTGTTTGCAATTATTCTTATAATATTTTACCTTTGGAGCATTTTCTCCTTAATAATTTTTCATTCGCACATTTTTTAATACCTGATAATTAGAAGTACAGCATCTGATATCCACATATACTAATATAGAGGGAAATGCCTCAAAAAATTTAATACATCGGAAAGGTCAAAGACAAACTTCCATTAAATAACTATCAAACAAAACTTAAAAATTCAAAATAAAAATTGTGGCAATAAATAAATAATACAAAATCCCTGGAATTACCTTCAATATTATTGGAATAAAGAAACAAATAAATAAACAATGTGTCAAAAAAGACAGCCACAAAAATAGGTAAATCCCTTATCAAAATGACTAGCCCAGCCCTGCTGGAATATTTTATTGATACAAGCAGAATACATAATATATAGTTTCAGAACATAAAGGCTAAATCAAAACGATAATGGATGATAATAAATGAACTTCAGTCTGACATTATAACAAAATATCAAATAAAGGAACAAAATTTTATGGTTATTTTCACCTGATGATGGCAATGTAGATTGTTAAATCGCCAGGTAAACAATAAAACCAAGGAGTAGTATAACATAAAACTGTTATTTAATGGGATCTCTATCCCTAAATGCCACAGGATTATAACAAAATAAATTCTTAAAGAAAACCCTGGATTATTGTACCACATTATATTTCTAATCTACTGCTTAAAACAACAAATCCTGACAGTCTAATGGCAATATACTTTGGTCAATAAATAATTTTGAATAACTAAAAATATACAATGAAATGAAACTGATATGTAAAATTTAATATGCTAAGAAAGTTTTGAGTAACATCTGCTATGTAATTATAAAATCTACTTTGTTCCCTGGAATGTTTTTTTCAATTACATATTTCAATTATCAATCATAAATCCAGTATTAACAAAAGGCACAATAATTATTTTAGTTGCCATTTAAAAATTGAAGAGGCTATATGATCACCATACCTGGACTATAACTGGAGTACTGTCAATATGTGTAATTTTAATAGTAAACTGTAATGGATTTCAGGTAATCTTTATTATAGGAGGGACTGATTGAGCCATAACATGCTAAAATAGAGCAAACGGGACATATAGGCCGAAACATCTTCCTCCATTCCAGCAGTTGACAGCTATTTTGACAGTTAGTATTGGCGGTCTTTTCCAGTCAATAACTGTCAAAATAGCTATCAGAGGCTGGGATAGAGACAGATGTTTTGAACTAATAGGACATGTGCTCTTAAAATAGTAAGAGTTGGTGCATCATGTGATACACATACCAATATTGATGATTTCATTGCCAATCTCTTTCAAAGAATCTGATGAAAACACAGCTCAAAATAGTAGGCCAAGTAACTCGTAACAAGTAGGGCCTACAGTTATATTTATTTGAGTTACTTCACCAAATGGGTAACCAAAGGAACAGAATTTGAACGTGATAATCATTCAGGTTTATGAACAGTAACACAGGCATGATTGGACATGGATACTCGTAACGGAGGCATCATACTCCACCCTTCTTCAGGCTTGCTCAGGTCAAAATAATGAACCATGTCATGTGACTGAAAGGGAACTTCCAAACCGCCTGTACATACTAGTTTATTATCAATCACTGTTGATCCAGCAAAACGATGGTAACCATGACATTGGATTAGACTGGATAATGTCTTGGTTACCGGGTTGTAAATTTTTATATACTTTCCTCGATTGTCGTCAATACAAATCAGGAAGCCATTAACTGCCAAACAGTCTACACCTGTCACACGTAAATTTTCGCTTTGTATGTGTCTACTCAGGGCAGATAACTCATGCCAAGAGTTATCTTCAGGATCATAATATTGAGCATCTTCATAATTATTAATTCTTACTTCCTTATTTGGCTTTTTTTGACTGTACATTCCACCCAATAGAAACAGACGTCCATCTAAAGGAACTAATGCTGAATTTCCTACACCATCAACTCCACGAATAGAGGTCAATCGAGTCCACTGTTGAGTTTCAAGGTCATATGATTCACAGTCACCACGCAAACATGACCCAACCTGACCTCTACCCCCGACAACAAAAACTGAGTTAAGAAATCCACTGGTAGCGTGATTAAACCTTGCAAAATTCATAGGAAATATTTCTTTCCATTTGGATAATTTGACGTTAAATTCCCAGCATTCATTGTAGACAATTTTATTAGTATCGAACAGAGGCACTTCATTGCCTACGCCACCTGTGATATATATGTTGTTATTGACAACAGCAACTCCATATAACTGTCGATGATCAAAAGGAAAACTTGTTAGAGTATCCCAACATTTGTAGTCTTGATTATACCAGATAATATCAGATTTAACACTATTACGTGGATGGAGAGGATTTGTATCACGGCTAACCAGTACTATCACTTTATTCAATCGTGGCTTTATTTTCACATCCTTTTCAAATTCCACACTTGACAGAATCTTATGATCCAAAGATGATAAGGTTGAGTGTTCTATGCGCACACATTTGATCAGATCTTGCAGGTGCTTTTTACGTTCAGAATGATATGATACCCATTTATCAATAACAGACAATAAGTCAATCTCAAGAAAAACTTTGAGAAAGTCACTAGATAATATTTTCAATAAACATGCATACGTAATTTCACAGAAATCTTCTGACTGGGAGACGGCATCAAAATTTTCCAAAATGAAATTCCACGTCTGCTCTGCTAAATGATGTAAAGAATAACAATCGGCCATTTGAAAGGCTTTAAGGCAATTTTCACTGTTGATATGTTGCAATAAAAACCCGCTACATGATTTAACAATACTTCTAAAACCCAGAAAATCAGCACACTGTAATATTTCTACTACCGTATCAGCAGTTATGGTTAACTGAGCTGTATAAATATAATTCAATAATTCATTAAAAGCAACAGCACTGAAATCTCCTATTTCTATCAAATTATTTGGCTCTTCTTTATGTTCCGAGAAAGAAAATGACGATTTGAAATAGGGACAGGAAGCATCCAGAAGAATTTTATGACAATGGAAAATTTGATCCTGGACTTTAATCCTGACATCTGTATAAAGGTTCCGACTGCGACACTGATTAAAATGTTCCAAGATGGAGGAATATAGATTGTAGTTTTGATAAACATATTGATGTGTTCGATGTTCATCTAAAATATTATTCTCGTCCCCAGACATAATTCTGGAGCTCTTATCTGACGAATATCTAGAAAAAAGAATAAATAGATCAATCCAGATTCTAATACAAAGTTCAAGGATTTTCTTGAAGATATATATACCATACTCAATAATCATTCATCTTAACAATCGATACAAAATCATAGGTATTACTTTGCCACAGAATGAAAATCTTAAATCAGGTTTGTCTTTAATAAACCCAAATTCCAAAGTCCTTTGACCAATACTATTGAACATTTGTGCTAAAACACTTACAATTGGGTTTATGCGAATCATTGGGTAGGGGGTCTGTGTAGGGGCCACTGAATTATCATGGGGGTCTCACAGGCAAATCTATTCATATGTAATGTGATTTGAAATTGAAATGGGGTCGGGGGCTAAAGCTGTGCCAGTCTAAATTTTGGTAGGCCATGCTGCCTCCAAATTAACTATCTGAATAACTTTGAATAGTAACCTTAAACGCACTTCCGTTAGAACACTGGTATATATATATAATCCATTTATATAGATAGTAAATTATTTATCTGATGGTGCTCCTTTTAAACCCCACCTGAGATGATAGTTAAAATTTACCTTTAGATTCAGATTACTTGTATTTCATCCTTACATTAGCTGGACTGTGATGTACAGTAGCACCAGAAACCATCATCAGAAACCATGTATATTGCTATCAAACTTGCAACATAGAATGACATAGTTCATAATATAGTTCAAATTACAGCACAAATAGAGACACTGAAATATATAATGAATACTTTCAAGAACGAAGACACACACAACAATGAAACTTTAATTGAAATATAATGCTTATGTAGGATAGCAAGAATGTTGTTAGTTTTTATTGTCCATTACTTCAATAGCTTGTGCCCCCCATGACCTTTTAAGTCAGGTCGTCAACTAACAGTGAAGTCAATCTAGTTGTTTATCAAAAGCAATGTTTACAATTGAACTATGGTGTAAATTTCTAACAAGGAAAAGTTACAGGTAGGTCTATACAGATTGTTTTGTTTCAATGAAAGAATGATTCATGTGATTCATGTTGGGTTCCAAAGTTTTTTTACATCGTCCTGTAAGCTTAAAAAATGTGTTTAACCTAATAAAATACTGGTATAAGCTTAGATCTATTACACCACAATCACTTCAGTGACTGAAGGCTAGACAGCGTGTCCTTGTATATTGGACCTAATTCTGACCAATGTAAATTTACTCTCTGACTTCTCTGTTTTCTGACTTAAATTTTGGAAATCATTTCCACATGAATTGAAATATCAATTACAAATTACTACTAAGAGTTCTGGATTGATGAAAATGTCAACCACTAGAAAAGTTATCATTTGTAAACATGATTTTACAGTTGGGAATTTTTAATTCTTACATGAACTTTCTGGTATCTATTTAAAACGTAAGACATTCTAAGACAATTGGTATAAACTTGAAAATTATATCTATTCTATTCTATGAAATTTAGCTCTCTTAACAAAATACTATCGTCATCAATTTGAATCGAGCTAAATCGAGTGAAGTTAATAAGAACTTCCGTTAACAAAGCTGTCAAAGCAATATGAATTACTAAGGGAAAAGGAAACCAGAGCTTCAAAGCACAGATTTGGGGTCTAAAAACATAATTTTTCGCGTACTAAATTATTCAGCTACCCTTGGTTCTGTCAGAAGTAAATGAATCAAAACAAACCTCACTGCTTTACTTGCAGTTTGAAGAGTTCCGTCCCTTGATGAGTGCGTATAGAACAATTTATTTGATTCGTCAGTTTATTTCCACGAACCAATCAGAGACTTCGATAGAAACTCACGTGTTCAGTCGAATACTTCTAAAAGAATTGGACCGTTGAATGGAATTTCAATGTGCTTTTAAGTAAAATTATTAATGAATTCTGCATTATTTTGTAACCTATTATTATGTAAATCAAATAATACTTGTTCACGTTTTTTTCAAGCAGGTAGGCAATGATCAAAACAGCACGCTTGGCTATGTCGCTCCGATGGGTTTTTGTTTTGAAGGTTTTGAGTAAGTCACGATGTTGGCATACAGAATTTCATAGAAAAACTTTTGTTGCTGAATTGGAATTTGTCTGGAATAACTGAATTAGCATTATTGAAATCAGATTCTTTACATAAAAGCTTTTTTGAGTGAATGTCTTTATGTTCTGTATTTCTGTAGGTTTTGTATTTTTTGGCCTACTGGTGTGAGGCTTGAGGCTTAATTAAGTTTAAGCTTTAGTTTCAAGTAGGGTACCGGTACATGAAAGAGGCCTAATTTACTGTTAACTAAGCTTATATTTCACTTTTTAAATAAAAGGAAGAAGACACATTTAAAGGGACAGGTTCGCCATCCGTTTAGCCAATTGTACCGGAAAGGCTACTTGAGTCTCAGTAAAACAGTAAATTTTGAGCTAAGCTAATCAGTAGGCCTAATATTGTTCACAGCTCACTCAATCCATGTGTCATCTGAATTATCTGCGTTTGAATATTAAAATTATGCGATTTTGATGCGTTCTCAATTCTCAAAACAATATACATTCAAAACCCATCTCATGCCCTGAAATTGAAAATGGCAAATCTGTCCCTTTAAGAGGGACTATATAGCTTTCGTCGTCAAGGTGAAATGATTTTTCCTGACGGCGACGAAAGATCATAGAATTGAATACTTACTAAGTTTATTTCTTATATTAAATATGAACACAGAGTGATACGGCATTACATTACATTCTAGAATTTCAGATGTCACCTTTTGACTTTTTTACTTTCAGGAATAGGCACAATGTCAGGCTACAGACATCATAGAGGTCAAGGGTACAGAGGCCGTGGTGGAAGAGGTCGTTACTATGGAGATGGTGGTAGAAGAGATAATGATGACGGGAGAGGTTATAATAATGGCAGAGATCATTCTCCTGGTGATAGATATGAAGACAGTGGGGACTCATTTCGTGGGAAAAGTGGGCGTGGTAGAGGTGGAAGACCCCCACCAGGATTAAAAGGAAGGGAAATAGGAATGTGGTATGCAAGAAAAAGTCAAGCTGCAAAGGACAAAAGAGAGAAACTTGATAGACCAGTTGTCCATGTGAATGCTCAGGAGCAGAGGAAAATTCGAGCTGCTCTAAATGATCTGGATGATGAACCGTCAGATCAAAGTCATCAAACTGGTGGAATGAATCAGCAAGCTACAAGTTATGGTCGTGATTGGTTTGATGAAGATCCTCATCAAGCATCGGCCTCAAATTTTACTTCATCATCATCTTCTGACCCGAGATCTGATCCAACACATATCAGATTTGAAGATGAAAATGACTCAGATGAAGAGTTGGAAATTTCTGGATTCAAGGAATATTTGGAAGTTTCTAAGCTTGAATCTGAAGACTACATTGACTTGACTAAATGTGACGTAAGTGATTGCTCTCAACCTGAGGAAGATTACAGATCTTCCAAACTTGATCAAATTTATAAACAAGATCTTGATGATAAGATGACAAACGAAAAATATATTTCAATGTTGAATTTCCGCAAGAAGCTTCCCGCATATCAAATGAAGGATGAAATTATTCAGACAATTTCAACCAATCAGGTTGTAGTCATCAGTGGTGAAACTGGATGCGGAAAAACAACCCAAGTTCCACAATTTGTTCTGGATAATGCGATAGCTCAGGGGCGTGGTTCACAATGCCATGTTATCTGTACACAGCCCCGAAGAATTAGTGCGATATCTGTATCCCAACGAGTGGCTCAGGAACGAGTTGTCAAATGTGGAGATGGTGATGAGGTCGGCTTTATGATTCGACTTGAAAAGAAACTACCTAGACCTCGTGGATCACTCTTATTTTGCACTACTGGTTGTGTTTTGAAATTTCTAGAATCAGATCCAATGCTTAATCGAGCTACACATATAATCATTGATGAAATTCATGAACGTGATTTACAGTCTGACTTTCTCATGATTATTTTGAAAGATATTTTACCTCACAGACCAGATTTGAAAGTTGTTCTCATGAGTGCTACACTCAATGCTGAGTTATTTTCCCAATATTTTAATGGATCCCCAATGCTGCACATCCCTGGATTTACATATCCTGTTGAGGAGTTTTATTTGGAGGATGTAATGGAGATGATTCAATACCAAGCTGAGAATAAACCTAATTATTTCAAGCCCACAAGATTTCGGCGAAAAGGTCAGGAGGCAGAAAATGAGTACAGGAGAGAGATTGAACGAGAGGAATGGCTTCAGAGTTTACGAGGAAAATATTCCAACAGAACAATTTCTAGTTTGAAACTTGTAGATGATAAAAAGGTGGATTTGAATTTGATTTATGACTTGATTAATCATATTTGTGAAAGTAAACCAGATGGAGCCATTTTGGTTTTTGTACCTGGCTGGTCGGAAATCAGTTCCTTGAATAAACTTTTGATGAATGAGAGGAAATTCTCTGGTGGTGGATTCCGAATAATCCCTCTTCATTCATTGATGCCTACAGCCAGTCAGCAGGAAGTTTTTGACCGACCTCCACCAGGCGTTCGTAAGATTGTCATAGCAACCAACATAGCAGAAACAAGTATCACAATTGATGACATAGTATATGTTATTGACGCTGGTAAAATTAAACTGAAGGACTTTGAGCACGACAAAAACTTAAGTACCCTAGAATCAAAGCAGACATCTCAAGCTAACGCGAAGCAGCGTCGTGGTCGAGCAGGAAGAGTGCAACCAGGCGTGTGTTATAGGCTGTACACAAGTGAAGAGAGCAGCCATATGTTGGATTTCTTCCCGCCAGAAATATTACGGACTCGTCTTGAGGAACTCTGTCTTCAGATTAAAATCTTAAAGCTTGGAAATATTATTCCTTTTATCAGTAAAGCCATGGAACCGCCGTCAATAGCTGCCTTAAACCATGCTATTTCAACTTTACAAGACCTGCATGCTTTGGACCACAATGAAGAATTATTACCCCTAGGACACCACTTAGCAAGGATGCCTGTTGATCCACATATTGGTAAAATGATCTTATTCGGTGCCATGTTTGGATGTCTGGATCCAATATTAACTATCGCTGCTAGTCTTGGCTTTAAAACTGCTTTCCTGACACCTTTGGGAAAAGAAAAGGAGGCCGACCAGGCCAGGCTTGATTTGTCCGAAGATAGTGAGAGTGACCACATTCTTCTGATCAATGCCTTGAATCAATGGGAAATAGCAAGGAATCAAGGAAGGGAAAGACAGTTTTGTCATCTGAACTTTCTGTCATTTAACACTCTGAAATTGCTGAAGGACATGAAGGGACAGCTAGCCACCTTGCTTCAAGAAGTAGGATTCACAAGCAGTAGCAATCCAAAACATCGTGAAGCCAATATGAACTCCGATAATTTGAGTCTTGTGAAAGCCATTATTTGTGCTGGTCTGTATCCGAATGTGGCAATGATTGGAAAAATACCCAAATCTAAATTCAAGACTGTTAAACTGAACCTCAAGCATGGTCAAAAGGCAGCCATGCATCCATCGTCAGTGAATGCTTATTCCCAATTCTTTGATGAGAAATGGGTCATTTTCCACAAAAAGATGAGAACCTCAGACATCTATATATACGATTGTACCACGATCTCCCCCTACCCATTATTACTGTTTGGTGGAGAGATCAACCTGCTCCAGGATGCTGGTGATTGTGTATCAGTGGATGGTTGGATTATATTTAAGGCTAAACCAGATGTTGCCAACCTGGTGAAGGACCTGAGAGTTCGACTGGATAAAGTCCTTGAACAAAAAATCACAAAACCAGGACCCACTGATTGGACGCATGGTAGTAAGGAAGGGTCCTTGATGAAGCTGATTATTGATCTTATGTCCCAGAAGTAGGAATATAAATTTTAGTTAATTAAAAGATTGTATTTGAAAAGGATGGTACTTAAAATTGCACTTGTTTCAGAGAGAAGATAAGCATGTAAACGTAATGAATAAAAAGTTAAATTTCTTGTTTGAGGTCTATTTGAAGAAATTATTTGATTTTCGTACATTTTTAGTGGTTCTGAATACAATACACATATATTTAAAGCTTAAATCAACCCAACATCTATAACTTTAATACAAGAATATTGTTAAGGTTGTGATGTAGGCATTATTGATACGTTTTTTGCAACGGAACAATCTAGTCAGAGACATGGTTATTAATTCTATAAAGAATAATAGTCTATCTTGAACCTCCTACTTCTAAACTTCGAGACCTTTAAGGTCTTGTTAAAATATCTTCTTTTCTGTTATTTGGTCGCTATTCCTAAAACACGATTTTACGAAGAATCTAGACAGATCATGGATGATAAGATAGTAACTTGCATAAAAAACACTAATCGAAACGTCAAGATATTTATTTTAATGTTATTGATTGCGTCCACCAACTTGTCATCATATGGCATAAGAAGTCTGGTTAGTGGCTCTAACAGATAGAGGACAGGGGCTATGGTACGCTTTTTATAATATTTACCTGTTTTCCAGGTTACGTGCCTGCTGGAAACAGATTTCCAACGACATTCTCAAGCTATAATTGACTGTCAAAAGTCATTTAATTGCATCCTGACTGTATTCGTATTCCTTATTTAATTTTGTACTTTTGCTGAAACTAAAACGTCTTGTATTTTCTCTCGGAAGTATTTTTGATATGTAGATCACAAATAAAGATCAATGCAATGATTGGCTGACTGACTTGTTAAAATATAGACCTTAGCCTATATGAACTTGATAATAACAATTATTTTTGCTCTATTTTGTAATTATGATAGGCCTAACCTATAATAATAATGGGGAAAGTGCGAAATACTTTGTGGATGAATGGACAATGTAATTTTATAATTTCTGTTAAATTGTTGATATTGATTTTATATCGTTGTTAAGTTGAATTTTTTTTTTTTTTTTTTTTGATAAACAATCTTTTCTGTCATTTACTCTTCAATTTTATCCTAACGATTTATCCTAAGCGTGTGATGACTATCGTAAAGGAACCTACAATATTAGCAGCTTTTGCGTTGGTGACGTCACGAAACGCTTAATTCTAGTTGAGTTACAAGAATCACACTCGTTAGAGTGGTGCAGATGGATACTTTCAGAGTCCGTGAAATACATAAATTTTGTAGAAAACCCCCTTAAGAATACGACCATAGACCAACCCATGTGTGCTGGCCAAAACAAACGCTACTAATGTCCATTCTAACCAAACAAAAAAACATCCATTGAGGAAAGCATAGTTCTCTGTATCTACAAGCATCCATGTTAAGATTTTGGTTTCTTTACAAACGTACCCTAAAATATTAGGTTTAAACTGGGACTGGATGCGATTTTGGGTTTTTTGGAGACGTGGCTTACATACTCTTTTCTGCTGATTCCATGAATTCCATGAGTATGTTTAAGAAAATTGAACTTTACCGGTTTTAGAATTAGGCCTAATTTGTAATGTTGTCAATGCATTCATGTTGATGAATTGTTGTTAAATCTTTTTCATTAATATATAAAAACCTTGAATATATCGAACTGGTAGTTTCTCCACAGAACTATATGAAAAAACAATAACAGTGGTATATTCATGTATAACTACTAGACTAGTGAAATATAGATAGGCCGAAAGTGATAAAGTTAATTATATTATAACTATAAAATTGATATTAATTTCACTTTTCTCACTTTTTACCATATATTTTCTCGTAATTCTAACTGAATGGCCGAGGTTGATTAAATAAATAGTGAAACAATCGGGTAAATGAGTCAGAGAAATTTATTGAAATTTAAAAGATCATTTCTGTGTAAATCGTAGCTTTTTTTTAAGCTTAAAAAATATTATGCCCATCAACACGGGATATTGTCATCTAAATATTTGTAACACGTCAACTTAGACTCGTCACTTCCTGGACGTTAGAAACATTCACAGTCATCGATATCATTACGTCATTGGTGATAGATACAATCGAGAATGTCTTATCAAAGCAAAATTTCAGACAACTATACCTTTGAGAGTACAGGTAAACATGCATATTGTAGCAAGCTTAGGATATAACACCAAGCTGCAGTTTCTATTGGATTACATGTATTTGATAAATGCTCTTTCATAAGGGCCATGTACGTACAGCGTAAAGCATCATGTCCAAACCAAAGGGTAACCCCCCATTCGTCATACATCCTCGAGGAAGACCATGTCAAAATCCACATTCGATGATCGTTAGGCATCCATCGGCGTTTATGATGTCAGTTGCCGCGTAAAATGCCCTACCTTACACAGTACCGCACACCATTATGCTTCGTCTATTCCTATCTTCCTGTATATTTCCTTGTATTATTATCTACGTGGGTATGAAAAAGTCAGATGTAAAGAGGAGATGGTTGATTTTCCCCAAGCGTGATATCAAATTTCCAATTACTTTGTAATGTGAGATGATAATGGACAAACGGATTTTAATAAATTTAATGACCTATATTGCATACGATTGCATGCACATAATTGCATAATTGACATAAACTGGTTTTATCGCATCAATTGATCTATTCCAGTTTACTATTCTCTTGTCATTACATTACTTCTTATGGGGGAATTTATATCGAATGTAATAATACAGAGGTTGTTATTGCTTTAGAGATAAAATAATAACAGATTATTATTGAATGGTTAAATTATACAGAGGGCGTTATTTCTTTGGAGTTGAATTATGTTACTGTTTATAGCTAGAAAGTATCGAATGTTTTTTTAATAATAATACGTTATAAGATATAAACTTAGTATTAATAGAAAGTGTCGAATGTTTTGATTATAAAGAGGTTGTTATTAAAGTTAAAATATGAACTTAGTTTCGACGGAAAGTACCGAATGTTTTAATATTACAAATCTGGCTAAGTCTTTTGCGTTCAATTATGAACTGTTTATGACTAGAAAGTATCGAATGTTGTCAGTATACAGAGGTGGTTCCTCTTAAGATTTAAAATATGAACTGATTACATATAGACAGTATCGAATAATGTATTCATGCAACGCGGGGTTTGTAAGTTAAATACGTTAGACAGTATCGAATAACGTATACATGCAATGCAGGGTTTGTAACTTAGTATCGATAGAAAGTATCGAATGTTTTGATTATACCGAGCTGGTTATTTCTTTAGAGTTAAAAAACGAAATGTTCATGACTAGAAAGCATCGAATGTTGTTATCATGCAGCACAAGGTTTGTTTCTACGTTAGAGTTAAAATATGAACAAAATATCGATTGAAAGTATCGAATGTTTTAATAATACAGGGTTTTTACCTGAGTTGCCTACCTGTTAATTAGATATTGTAATCTAAAACAGAACAGTCATGATTCCATGTTGGAAGTAGCATATACAAATTAGAAAGACAGAAACAGAAATTCAGAGAATGCAAGAGAAAAGTGGCACCTGGAATTGATTGACAGAGATGGCTACTGATGTTTAATTTGCTACATTGGATCTGAAATGAAATAGACTGCAATCTCAATCGTAGAGTGGAATCGAGTGACTTGTTGGGGTAAGTTTAGCAATTATAGCTTTTTAGACCATTTTGGTATAACAACGCTATTTTGAGTCAGAAGAAAATGTTAATTGCCCTACAACATAACATGCCCGAATATTTTTTTTACTCGAAAGCATATTGATTTAAATGGGTTTGGGTTCTCAGCCCAGACACCCGCATCCCTCTATGGCTATTGAATGATTTATAGTCTCGCAAGGAATTTGAAGCCCTGGGCAAATATATATAGTCTGTATCTAATTGAACGTTTCTTAAGATTTTTAACAATGAACACATTTTAAAATTTGAGAAGTGTACTATGTTAACGAAAGCCAGACTTGATTGTTCGGAGGGGCAAGTAATATTTGCAGAAGGGAAATTGTGTATGGTGGTATGTTTTCGCCCCAACCCCTGAAGCTATGGGCCTTAGTTCAATAACACTTGTTCAGTGAAGACTTTAAGTAGTAAGTCATGTATTTCGGTACTTAAAAGTCAAGCCTTACTAACCAAAACATGATCTACATCTTAACTCTGATATGAAAGCAAATTTAAACATTTATATACATCACTTTTTGTGGGCATTGTGGTATATTTTGTAAAATCTATTTTACTTACATGCTCCATATGACACCCTTACTCATTAACTATCAAAAGTCGGATAGATTGAACAATTTGTCTTCTAAATATCTCTTTAAAATCAGAATCCTGGGCTGTCTCAGATATTATGGGATTTAAAATGTACTTATGTTTGGAACTTGAAAACAAAAGGGTATAAATTCGTATGTATGTTTTCTTTGTTCTAACAAGAAGTAAATTGTTAACTCAAGTTTACTTGCTGGAGGGACTTTGACATACAAATCAACTATACTATAATAATCCGTGTGAACTCTCTTAAAGTACAACTAAATAACATCACATCAAGTCTCCTATGTGAACTCTGTTGATTGAGGTTGAACGAGACACAACATCAAAGTTAATACAAGATATTTGCATTACACGCTGATAGAGCTCCATTTCATATGCAGACAAAACGTACAATGAAATTCAGATTGTCACCTTCCAAGTCGTCATAAACATCCTCTTGTGTAGTTATGTCAATGATATAATTACTATACTCGAGAATTCTAATAACACACCAGAAAAGACACCAGTATAACGTCTCTTCAGGGCCAGTTAAAAACAACCCAAAAAACAAAAACAAAACGAAAAGCAACAAAAAATGCGAAAAATACATTCCAAAGGGATAACTGGAATGGAATGAAATGGAGTTGTATGTCCTATTGAAAATTTGTCTTACCCCTCAACCTTTTCTAGACACGCCCCTGGGCATATACCACACGAGGACTCGGCCTAATTTGCGA